TTATTTTCTTTTCCATGTACAAATAGACTTGCTAGCATATGCTACAGCTTTCTTATTAAATATATATATATATATATATATATATATATATATATATATATAATAAAATGAAAAAAAACAAAACCATAGTTATCCCAGAAGGAGAGCATGTGCAATGAAGAATAACAGAAGAAAATCATGAAGAATTGAAGTATACAATTCAAGGGAATCTGGGGTTAAATGTAAGTGTAACTATCTTTAGTGTCATAACCAGTTTTATTAGATAGCATATTCATTCTTCTTGCCTATACCTATTCTGTGATGTTATATACATTCATCTTTTTCAGAGCATTAACACACAAAGTGTTAAAGGGAAACAAGCTAGTTTTCCTGGCACTATAGCTTCACCCTCCGTCAAGGCCTCCCCCCATGTCAATAACCCCTTTGATCAGTTACCTGAGTCCAGCGCCGATGTCCCTGTTAAGGGACCTGGGGCAATGCACCCGGACCACTTCAATGAGCTGAAGAGGTCTGGGTGCCTGCAGTGTCCCTTTAATATGCCAATTCACTGTTTAATCAGGAATAAGGAGAAAACACACTACAATATCCAGATTACCACAGCAGCATTACAAGAATCTATTTGGTTTCAGCTGAATTTCAATATGTCAATATGTTCAAATTTAGGCTGATTGGTAGTTTAGCCAAATTCCAAAACTCCAAAGTGCCATACAGATATATAACTGATATACAACTAAGCAACCAACTCGGCACGTCGTTTGCTTCTGGTTTTGGCCATTATAGCTCACACTATAGATTCCTACACAAGATAACTTGGCACTCCACCTTCCACTGGAAACAATGTTGTAACTTACCTGGGTGCAATTCATCAATGTTAAATATATAGAAAACAAAGACACAATGATGCACTCACAGGTCTTAGAAGTTGGAAAAATTGTATTTTAAATCTCAAAAAGCTGTGTACATCAAAATCAACGTTTCGACCCCATTCGGATCTTTCTCAAGATCACAGTGCAAGTGTAAACATTATGAATCTCTAAAAAACTTACCACATTCAACTAGCCCAATGTGTGAAAAGACAGCCCATCGACTGATTGTACCCGGAAGTGATGACCGTGACGTGCCTCTCGTGCGTGTGCGTGGTTACTAAGAGTAACAGAGATACAAAGCATGTGGCCGTTTAGAGTTGCCATAGAAACTGCATGTAGCTATTGCAATCGGAACCCATCACCCGAGAGTTCATGGAGGAACAGGAACATGAAGCACAAGTTAATGTGTTCATATCAAATAGCTAGGGGCACAACATCAATTACCAACACTACGTTTTGTCGCAGTTGACCATGTGCCCCCTCCTCCTCGTGGTGGTGACAGATTGAATTTATTTTTACAGCGAGAGGCATATTGGATACATCGATTGGATACAGTATCACTGAAGGGACTGAATGAAAACATTGTATTCTCTATGTTTCTTTAAAAGCATACCTAATTTCATTCAGTTTCCTTAATAATATATTTAATTTACAATTTGTTCAGGACTATCTCTAAGGGTCTTTTTAAAAAAAAAAAACAAAAAAAAAAACATTGTTTACATGTTTAAAATCTAGATTATTGCTAAGTATCTTGAAGTACCCTTATGTATGTTTCCAATAAAAACTGAAAACACATTATCCCCTAGATTTTATGTACTTCCAGAATCCCTGTACAAAAAAATAACCTAAGGGTATATAGAACCCAGTAACATATCGATCCAATCTGTGGATTCATTACTCTCCCAAAATATGTTTTTGAGCTGACCTCCTCTAAACCTCCTGACATTGTTAATAAATAGGATGATAATAGAAGAGATATATACTATTTCCACGTAATAATATTTTGATGCATAGAGACCCCTATGATATAAAATATAGGGGCATATAGAAAAGGCTTTTGTCCTTTTTTTGACTTCTATTTATATTCTAGAGAATAAGTAATAATTTTGTTAGTTATATATATATATATATATATATATATATATATTTGTAGTCGGGGACATTAAGCCGTATGTGAATTGGTGTGTTATGAACACAAGTCGGTTGTGGTGTGCCTAAACCGACGACCGGGTAGGCCTGAAATAATGAGGGCCCACCTAAGGAGTATTAGCTAAGGGGTGTTGGTGGGTGGGAAGTCTGATTCGATCTTGGCCATAATAAGAAGTTGGTTAGAGTTTAAATAGCCGGTTAACCCCTCCCACAACTACAGGCTCCGCCTTAACAATTGTAGTCGGGGACATTAAGCCGTATGTGAATTGGTGTGTTATGAATGCAAGTCGGTTGTGGTGTGCCTAAACCGACGACTGGTTAGGCCTGAAATAATGCGGGCAAAAAGGTATATAAACAGAACACTTTAATGCTTACAATTTTACATGAGTAATTCTTTGAAAGCTTTCCTGAGTTCCTTCTCTGGCTGAGGAATGTATTTACCATAGGCTGCTGATTTCCATCTGCCTAATTTTTTGATGATGTGTACAGGGACGTTTTTGATGGATGCGGCTGGAGCGGCGCCGATTCTAAATGAGTGCCCTGAGATGGACATGGGGTCGTGGCCTAGTCTGACCGCCAGGGTCCTTATGTGGTGTATGAACGGTTTGTTGGAAATAGTGAGTAAGGGTGAATAGCTTTGTTGGTGTTTGAGTGAGAGGCAAAAGGTATCCAGTACTTACATCGGACACCACTAATTATGGGTCGGAAAGTACGGGATCTCCGTCGGAGAGACCATCTGATTTATCTTGTAGAATATAGTGGTCCTCTACTTTGTGTATATCCCTTATACTGATGTAACCGGTGTCACCGGATAGTGTATTCACCATGAATTCGTTGGCCGTTAAGAACCCGTAAAAAGCGATGTACATGGCTGCTTTGAGTACGTGATTAGTACTGGGTTTGAACAGGCTGGAGTCTAACAAATCTGATAGACCCTTGAATTTGTTGCTGTCATTTGGTTGTCTTTTAGTAGTTGGCGGGCTGTCTGTGCGGAGTATGCCTTTAAGGACGTTTTTCAGACGATAGTTCGACATGAGCGGTTCGTGATAGTGAAATAAGGTGAGCAAGTGATGTTGTATGCCCGTGAGGTACAATTTGATAGTGTTATGTCCCAGCTCAAGGTGTGAGTGACAGTGAGCGGTGAAAGCTATTATTGTGTCAATAGAAAAGGAGTTAGTGATGTGGTATTCGGTGGTGAATCTGGAGAAAATAAAAAGAGCTCTGTCATAGGCCTTTCTGGTGTTGTCCGACAGCGCAGATTTCGCCAGCGTTAGTGCATGTTGTTTTAGTAGCGTTAGACTAATATCAGGTCCTGAAATGTTGGGGTCGACTCGGGTTGGTTGGCCACCGTGGGGTGATGTTTGAAAAAGGTCTGAAAGTTGGAGCGAGAGAGAGCGTCAGCAACAATATTTTCCCTACCAGGGATGTGTATGCAAACCAAGTGAAAATTGTGTGTGGCTGCCAGCCAGGTGAGTCTCCTCATGAGCCTCATAATAACTAGGGAAGAAGACCTACCTTTGTTTATGATCTCGCATGTGGCTTCGTTGTCCGAAAGGCATTTAACTGCTTTTCCCTTCCACAATGAGCCCCAATTGTGTGCTGCTGCGACTATCGGATAAAGTTCGAATAGCGAGGATGTAATGTTAAAGGCCTGTAATGTTGAGATTTCTGATGGCCATGAGTCGCGGAGCCATTGGTTTTAGTATATGTGAACCCTGTGTGGGCTGCTGCATCGGTGCGTATGACTGGGGATTCCTCATCCAGAGGGGGTATGAACATTGGCCTCCCGTTCCAGGAGGAGAGAAACCTACCCCACATAAGCAAGTCTGCCTTGGCGTTATCGTCAATACGAATGGGCGAATTGTCGTGAGGGGCCTCCGTTAGGAGGTGTAGTAACACAAAACAAGGTATGAGGAACTGGATAAAAAGATCCAGATATAGCAAAAAAACATCAGATAAAAGTAGTACTCACAAATGCAGCAAAGCCGCTCACTGCTGCTCAAACAGTGACAATCCACAGTACAAATCAAACAAATAGAGGCAGCGCAAAATGTTGCTATGTGCACAAACAAAGTGCTACCAAAATTTATTGGAGGACAGAATAATAAACAGTTTCGGGTACAACATTGAAAAAGTGTTAGCGAATTTGAATGAATGCTTTGACCTATGGAACAGAATTAATGTTCTACTTAGGACTTGCTACTGAACATGAGTTGCCTGGGATTGGGTTGGAGACCTAAGATGAGGAAAAATTAATGCTTCTGGCTTGCCGTACTTGAGTGTGGCCAAATGGGGAAAGTATTACCTGGATGTGACTTGACCAGTGGATACGGGATCAAGATTCGTGAACTATGAGTTGTCCCAGGCGACCTAGGCAATAATCAGGGTGAGTATACGAGCCGAAATACCAGAAAAAAAAATTTAAAATATTTTTTTAGGGTTTAGTACTGATGTTTTTGGAGAGAGGCTGGCATTGATGAGAGGGATGGGCTGTGGACCTTGGTAATTGAACCTTGATCAAGCTAGGTTTTCGTTTTGTAAACTGACAGTTATGAGTGCAGGGGGGTTGTGCAAGGAAGAGAGACTTACTGGATCATAGACTAAGAAATAATTATTTTTTTCATTTACAGTTTTATTATTAATTATTTTGACCACTTCATCATAATTTGCACGATCATATTTGACGTGAACTGAACACTTAAGACTTGTGAGTAACGTCAGGTGAGAACATTTTGCTTTACAGTGCAATGTTCTTGCATACTATGTTATATGTTTAAAGGACATTAGTTTCTGTAAGATCTTAGACTTCCCAGTGTGTTTATATTCTTTATTTGTGTGAACGTGGATGAAGGGAACTAACTCCTTCCTCTTTATATTTACCGTGATTTTTGCGTATTGAGGGGGGGGAGGGAGGCGGCTTGTATGTGTGTGTGTTAGCCGGCCCCTCTGTCCCACAAATGACGGGCTGTGTACCAGGCAGAGCCGTTACGTATGTGGTACGCTCATGCTTCCGGAGCATATGCGTCTGGGGGAGGGGGGGTATGAGTGCGTTTGCCGGCCCCTCTGCCCCGCCTTTGGAGGGCTGTGTACCCGGAAGTACCGTCGGAATGTTTGTGTGTCCCGGGGGGGAGAGGAGGGGGCATGTTCCGGGCGAGCGTGATGTGCGTTGGTGGGGGGAGCTGTACTTACGAAACCCGGAAGTGTGCCTGGTCTGGGTGCACCGGCGGCGGGACCCAAATGAGCAAGCAGGCTGGTGTGGGAGCCCTTCAACTTCGGTGCTGGTGTTGGCTGGGAGTTGTTGGGATCCTTGCTGATACTGGAGGTGCTGACTGACCGGAACCGGAAGTGGACGCCAATGGAGTCTGATTCGATCTCGGCCATGATAAGAGGTTGGTTAGAGCAGTGTTTCCCAACCCAGTCCTCAAGGCACACCTACCAGTCCAGGATTTAGGGATTACCCAGTTGTGTCTAAGGTGTTTTTTTTCTTCTTTGTAAAAACACCTTAGACACAACTGGGTAATCCCTAAATCCTGGACTGGTAGGTGTGCCTTGAGGACTGGGTTGGGAAACACTGGGTTAGAGTTTAAATAGCCGGTTAACCCCTACCACAACTACAGGCTCTGCCTTAACATATATATATAAATATATATATATAAAACTTCTTTAAAAAAGCTATCAATGAAATGTATATATAAGTTAAATAATTATGTCTTCCCTATGACTATGGGGAATAGTCTTACTCGAATCCTACTTAAGGATTTACTTTCCCAATTTCTTCTTCATATTCTGCACGTAATGGATTGCTCACTTTTTGTTTGATATATTCAGGTTATCTCACTCACTTGAATTTCACTTTATTTACCTTCTTTACCCACTAGTCTATTTTCTTACTTTTGACTGTCCCCCCCTAGATATTTGATATGAACACATTAACTTGTGCTTAGTGTTCTTGTTCCTCCATGAACTCTTGGGTGATGGGTTCAGATTGCCGTAACTACATGCAGTTTCTATGGCAACTCTAAATGGCCACGCACTTTGTATCTCTGTTACCCTTAGTAACCATGAACACGCATGAGAGGCACGTCACAGTCATCACTTCCGGGTACAATCAGTCGATGGGCTTTCTTTTCACAGTTGGGCTAGTTGAATGGGGTAAGTCTTTTATAAATTCATAACACTTACACTTGCACTGTGATCTTGAGAAAGACCTGAATGGGGTTGAAACGTTGATTTTGATGTACATAGCTTTTTGAGATTTAAAATACAATTTTTCCGACTTCTAAGACCTGTGAATGCGTTGTTGTTTCTATACATATATATATATATATATATATAGTTGTGGAAATCCTTGGACTCTTGCCAGACTTGCAAAGTAATGCCTGGTGCACACTGTGGCTTAATATCCAGAAAACAGGTAAAGTCAGCTGCACTCACGGTCTTCCTTAAAATTATTTCTTTATTATGTCAGGTTCAAAATGATCAACGTTTCAGTCCATTTACTGGACTTTTTTCAGGATCAGCATTACTGAAACACTGTGCTACAAACAAATATATACCTACTACAATTAGTGGAATAGAACTCACCCCAGGTGCTGTGCATAATCAGCAGCGTTCCACCAAGCCCAGGGTGCATGCGCGCGTGTGTGCCCCACTAACAATAGTGACATGATGGCGTGTCTGCGTGATTACGTCACACGCGTTGCTACAGCAATGTTTGTATACAAAGTGATCACCAGGGCGACATGCTGCTTCCGTGTGTGGAACTAGTCTGAAAGATGTGAATGAGAAGTACAGCCCGTGATGTACGGTAACTGTGAAGAAATGAGTGAATTAATAAACTGGGAAAATGCATAGAGATCAAGAGAATTAATAAAACGCATATGTTTACATTTCTAATATAGTGCTTGCTTGATCAAGTGCACTGTGCTGCAAAATGTCTAATAACAAGCGAATAGTGCAAAAGTGAATAAAGCGCACTAAAGATAACAAATTGTTAGATATCTGTAAAGTACCATATAATCTTAAAGTTCCACAATTTCTAAAGTGCATACAATTAATGAAGTGTCACATATTGTAAAGTGCCATATGTTATTAAAGTGCAACCAATTATTAAAGTGCATTATATTCTTAACCCCTTAATGACAGATTCTTAACCCCTTAATTGGGAAGCACGTAACGACGGATGACGGATCTGCTCCATCATGCGCTAAAATTAACCCCAGATCGCTGCGATCACTGCGATTATTGGGTAAATGCTCCTTCAGTCTGCCTCGATATTCGAGTCAGATGGGAGCACCCGATCGTGCTGCTGCAGCTGTGACAGGCTATCAGAGAGAGCACATGAGATACAGGGACTCCCGGTCCGCCTCCCCGAGCTTCCACGGTCAGTGTGAAGTTCAGGGAGACGGATCAGTGCTGCTGATCTTCTCCATGTAAAAATAAAAAATAAACTCAAAGTTAAATCCCACCCCTTCTTTATTAAAATTAACCCCTTCACTGCCATTTGATCACTGACTACATTGATCAAAATACAGATCAGGGTATTTTACTATGATCTGATTTTTAAAATTTATTTTTTAACCCCTGAGGGTTAACTTTTATTTATTTTTTTGACCCCCAGGGGTTTATTTCATTAATTAATTTAAATATTTTAAAATGATATATTTTGCTAGCTGGGGTGGGTGGGAGTTACGGGAAATTGGGAAATTTACTGTTAGTGCTGCTTACTGCTAGTTAGGGGTTAACAGTAAAAAAAGGTTGATAAAAATTTTAAAAGTGTAAAAGTAAAAGTTTTAAGAAAATTTAAAAAAGTTAAAAAAATTAATAAGTAAACATGCAACATGTATGTAAAAAATGCAACATGTATGTAAAAAATGCAATTTTTTCCCTCACCACAAACATTGACATAAATTGGTGAAAAAATGGTGACAAGTTAAGGCACAATATACACCATATAAGATACCCTGGAGTGTCTGCTTTCTCAAATGGAAGCCCTTTGTGGGTTTATTATAACATTTAAACTGCTATAATGCCACAAATTAGACATAGGCCCATCAAATCCATCTATATAATTTCTGACTAAAGAAACTGAAATAGCCTTGTCTCTTTTATGGCATTGTAGATTTACAGAATACTGCAAAAGGCATACGATGGGGGTATCGTTGCACTCATCAGATATAGCTGAACACAATATAAAGTGTACAGGAATAGCACACACCAGCTTTGCGAAATACACATTAGAAAAACCTTGTTATATGTGTATGTGTATATGCAAAAATAGAGAAAAAACACAGTTTTACTCCAATATTTAGCAGAGATTAGCATTGGAATGGCTATGTAAAAAGTGTCAAAATAACCTTAGGTAAATAGGTAACTTCTAAAATTGTTTCACATTGAAAATTTATTTTAGTCTGTGTATTCTGTGACCTTTAACTTTCAAAATAAGCTGAAATTCTATTCATATTATGTACTTTATAATTTAAGTCACATAAATGAATTTATTTTGAATTACTTTTCCTAAGCTGGACATATTATGCACATGTTATTATTGGCTAAACTGTGAAAAAATTATGTTGTTTTTTTTCATTCTTTTGCCCATTGTTTGGCTTTTTTTTTTTTTAATTAATGAGAATTTATATATGTATATGTGACATTAAATTAAAGCCTTTTTTGTCCTCTAAAATGTTATATAATATGTGTTGGTGCAATAAATGAGAGATGCAAATTGCAGTTGAACACAAACAGCAAAAAATGAAAAAATAGCTTGTGTCCTTAAAGGGACACTATAGTCACCTGAACAACTACAGCTTAATGTAGTTGTTCAGATGAGATCTATAGCTCCCTGCAGGCAATCTAATCTAAACACTGTATTTTAAGAGAAAATACAGTGTTTACATTGATTGATAGGAATACCTCCAGTGGCCGTCACTCAGACGGCCACCAGAGGGACTTCCTATCATGTATGGCCCTAAAAAGGCCATGTACACATCAGACGTATTAAAATACGTCTGACGTGTTCAGGAGAGAGAAGGCACTGTGCGCACGCCTTCTCTCTCCTGCCTGTCAGCAGGGGAGAGGGGGCGGGCAAAGACCGCGAGCTGAGCTGTCAGTCAAGCATGCACGGTAGTGCGCTCATGCATGCCGCCCTATGAAGTATGTGCACATGTGCGGCTAAGCCGCGCATGTGCACAAGGGAGCAATGACGTTTCCGAATGGAAGCGTCTGATCGCTCCCTGCTCGCGCCCGCCTATTTTGTCATTTTTACGAAATAGGGGGCGCAGCTTCACGAGGCTCCCGGCGCTGGAATGAGGTGAGTAAAAAGGGCTGCCTGGAGTGTCCCTTTAAGTGTAAGACAAGCTTCTGAAGCTTTGTCCTTATGGGGTTAAAGTGCCACTTGTAATTAAAGTGCTGCAACCTTATTAAAGTGCTATACATACTAGATAATATACATATATACAATTAAATTAAAAACAAGCTTCTGCTAGGCTTGGAGCAATAATAATGGATTGGCAATCCAAACTTAGATATTTCTTAGATATATCTAAATTTGGATTATCACTATGACTTTACCTGTTTTATATAAACACACATATATATTCCCTATTGCAACCATGAGCAATTCATTTTTTTCTTTCTCTGATCACCATTTACATGACAACTTTATATGTACCACACACATACACAGCAGGTAGTGGTGTTGTAGTTCTAGAATACTGACATCTAATTCTGGGGGCCCCTTGTGGCCCCTGTTGTTAACAGACAACTAGCAATAGATATACAACTCTCTGCCCACTCTACTGCATTTATGAGAAAACACGTTGTAATTATTCTACAGAAATATTTTATAGGGACAATTCATTATTATGGCCACTTTAGTTCCTGCGCTAAATCACAAAGGTGCAAGTCATTTTTCAGCCTTTGTAATTATATGATTATGTCAACATTAATCACAGAACCTGTGGTCAGTTTCCTAACATCTATTTAAAAAATATTTGAGTTTTTGATCATGTACTCCTTCTTAGTGTGTATGGTCCTGTAAAAGATATCATAAAAATATGTTTGTGAGCTACAAACTGATAACTGTGATCCATTTATTCCTAAAATATTGTGATTAAATCAAGTCATCAGTAAGAAATCAGGTCAATATTTTTCTAATAATAAAACCAAAAATGAAAAGGTACACTAAATTTCATTTTAAATCTTATAGACACAGTGTTTTGTTTAACAACCACAGATTTGCTTAAATATTTTGACTTATTGCACATACAAATAGCATATAAACGTTTAGCTTAACTGAAGTGGGTCTTATCATCTACACTTTCTTGATGACTGAGCTACTTGAAATATATTAATTCTCACAGCTACTTAAAGCTGATGTACAT